TTGACAATGCAGAATTGTCGAACTTACAACAGAGGTCAAGAAATAGATCATTTGGGACGCAGAAGAAATTTATCAAGTGCTGATTTGAATCGAGCAGCGTTTCAATACGATTGCATCACTGATTACAGCTTGCATCCTAGCGTTTGCATTGGGCAAATGGACGTTGTTTGCGAGTATTGCGGTGCACTGAAGTTTTCCGGAGAAACGCCTGGATTATGCTGCTTTAATTTACATTCTTTTACTCCACCCGGGAGCTTAGAGCCTCTACAATTTCTTGCAGAGGATTTATTATCATAGGTTTTCGATCGTACCGGTGATAAGCCAGTAGCGACTTATCCTAGCGGTGGGGTTGCCACCTGGCGCCATCTAGGAGTGACGAAAGTTTTATTGTTGGGTCCATAGTAACGCGGACGAGGGGGTGTGAGGGTCCGGGGAGCCGAAATTTTGTTACTAATGTTAAGTGAGCGATAGAGCATAGAAGTGGTGGAGATTTGGAAAAAGAGACCGTTTCTTTTTCTCGGGGAGCCTGGGGCTCGACTCGAACCCGGGCCTTCCGGACCGGTGGCCAGCGCTCTACCTGCTGGGCCACCGTCCCCCCAATGCTAAAGTTAAATTGCCATTGTTGACTCTGCCACCTGAGCCATTGTATTCGTTGCTTTGTGGTGAAACACAAGAATCACGCCACTTTCTTGCAAATACCCGAAAATACAATGGTTGTTTCCAAATGACGTCATTTGGGGCAGATATTACCGAAGAACGAGGATTTAATCCGACATTTAAGGTTTTTTTTTTGTTTGTATTACATAGAATATAGTTAAAGAATAACTTACTTTATCTTAGATACAAGGGCAGATTCACCATCGAATTGGATCATTACTACCTTTCGAAGATACACAAAAAAAATTTTTACAAATATATTTCATGGGCAACATGGAAGAACAACTTGATCGACGTCTAGCGATCAATGAAGGGATGAAGCGAGCAATTCTTCAATACTTGCAGTGTCTGCTTCATGAACATCATGCGATGGTCAGGTTGTTTAAGAGTGCTTTAGAGCGCATGCCAAATGATGACTATAAAGTTTGATTTAAGGGGGGGGTAAGGTTTTAAAGGCCAAAAAAAGGGACATGTTTGATTTTTTTTTGCGGCGAAATGAGTAAGTTTATATTATTGAGCTCAATTACATGTTATTGTTTAACTTTTGAAGAGTATTAGAAAAAAAAAATTATTAAAAAATATTAAGAAATACGCCTGTGGCGGTTAATCTTCCGAAGCGCCTAAAGAAAAAGTTGTTTTGCGGTGAACATCATAGGGCGTTAACGGATCATCTTAAAAATAAAATGTGATATGCGTTGTAAAGATAATGAATTTCCCGAGGTAAATTAATTTTTTGTCTATTTTTGGGAGCACTTGAAAGTGAAAAGTGCGATTTTAGCTTAAAAAATTGCTGTTAATTTATTTTTTAAAAATAGAGAAAAATTAAAAATTAAAAAAACTCTTCCTGATTACCTGCGTATTTATGTTGAGAATTTGTGTTAAAAATTTGAAAAGGATCGGTTCAGTAGATTTTGAGTTCTGATGTTCACCGACTTTCAAAATAGCGTCTTCGGCAAAATCGATTCAAAGTATTTTTATACGTGAAAATACGTCCAAATACGGTTGTTTAAAACGCTGTAACTCCGTTAATTTGACTTTAATTGACTCAAAATTTGTACACAATGTTCTCGACGTATTGGCCATTCAGAAAAAAAAAAAAAAAAAAATGTAAAAAAAAAAATTTTTAAAACCTTACCCCCCCCTTAAAGCAGATAAACGACCATCTGGAACACACGAAAGGACATTTAATGCTCCAACAATAGACGAAGTCGCCATCCTGATTGTTGGTGAACAATTTGGAAACCGCGATATTGTGCTTAAACGTCGCGATACTGGGCAACTGCAACAAATATCTGAAACTCATCGATCTTATGACGCGTTGCAATACCCGCTAATGTTTTGGCAAGGAGAAGATGGATATAATTTTAATATTAAAATGATTAATCCATTGAATGGTGAGTATTAGTATCATAATTTATCTCATTTATTTCTAAAAGACACTGATTTTAAATAATGCTTATTAAAAAAAATGGCTAATGTCTGTATTCTTTGCCTTTAAAATTTGCATTTGAAATGGTTAATTATAAAATTTTTAATTTCAGGTGAAAAAACTACAAAGAAAGTTAGCTCAATGAATTATTACGCATATCGTTTGATGATTCGTCAAAATACTGACAACTATTTGCTGCGGTTTCGTCGATTGTTTCAGCAGTACTGCGTTGACATGTATGTAAAAATAGAAACTGAACGTATAACATTCATTAGGTTGAACCAATCCAAACTGCGTTCAGAGGAGTACATCCATTTACGTGATGCAGTTAGTACTGAAGAAAATGCAGCTAATATTGGACGACAAACTATTCTGCCAGCGACGTACATTGGTAGTCCACGTCGGGTGCATGGCATAACGCCCAATGTCATAGCGCCCACGGGCGCTATGACACAAACAATTGTGTCATAGCGCCCGCGGGCGTTCCGTCACTTTTTTGAAAGTGTCATATCGCCCGCGGGCGCTATGTCATTTTTCTTGTGGGCCTTATGACACTATGAGAAGTGCATTAACGCCCGAACCTTATAATAATGAAATACCTGGTATAAATGGGTGCATGTAAGTGCGGATCAGAAGAGATCCAAGAGCCGGGTACAGAGTCAATCGACTCAGGAGGGAGCAGCCCGAACCTAATAGTAATAAAATACCTGGTATAAATAGCCGCCCAGCATAATTTATCGTGAGAATCGAGTGCTCAATAGCGTAAGAAGCGCCGCAGGCAAAATTTTTTTACATAAAAATCGCGCGATTTTTATGTAAAACAATTTTTGCTTGCGCTTTTAAAAAAGTAAACTTAAATACAAAATTGTGTTAACATGTCATTTATTTCATTTAAACATTATTGATAAACTTTGATTTGGCTGTCTACTATTTGCCTGCAATATGGGCAGAGCAATAGAGACTTCGCCGCTTTCATTTTCATCACTTTGTAGCACTCAAAACATATTTTGAAGTGGCTACAAGGTAATAGTACCACATCACGCGGAGTGTCAAGGCAAATTATACATTTAAGAACTTCAACCATTTGACTGAAGTGTAAAGTATTGTCCTCATCTTCATCTTCAGTATTATCTAAGCATGACTGCTCTTCAAATGTGGTGTCCCACCTAATCAAATCATTTTTTTGATTAATTAGGCTGCCAAAAAACTCGTTTTGCAAGTTTTAAGAAATTGAGGGCGTTATGACACAGGTTGCAAATGTCAAAAGGCCCACGGGCGCTGTGACATTTTCGGTGCGGGCGATATGACACTTTTAGAAGTGTCAGAACGCCCGCGGGCGCTATGACACAATTGTTTGTGTCATAGTGCCCGTGGGCGCTATGACACTGGGCGTTATGACATGCACCCGTCCACGTCATATGCATGAATATGCACAAGATGCAATGACATATGTTCGTCATAACGGTCGGCCAGATCTTTTTATTACTTTTATCTGTAATCCAAAATGGATAGAAATTACTCAATTGCTGCTTCCCGGACAAACATCAAATGATAGACCCGACATCACAACACGTATATTCAGGCAAAAAATTCGGTCCCTGAAGAACTTTATTGTTAAACAACGCGTCTTTGGAGATACTCGATGCTGGATGTATTCAATCGAATGGCAAAAGCGAGGCCTGCCGCACGCACACATTCTTATTTGGTTAGTGGAAAGAATTCAACCTGACCAAATAGATGATATTATATGTGCCGAGATTCCTGATTATGAAGTCGATCCAGACCTACATGACGTTATTACTACAAATATGATTCATGGACCATGTGGTGCCATCAATCCCCAATCGCCTTGCATGGTCAATGGTAAGTGCTCTAAACGATATCCACGGAAATTAACGGCGGAGACTGTCACTGGCAGTGATGGTTATCCGCTGTATCGGCGTCGATCACCAGATGACAACGGTCGAATTGTCACAACGAAAGTGAAAAGAATGGATTTCGTTGTCGACAACAGTTGGATTGTTCCATATTCGCCACTTATTTCTAAAACGTTCAAGACACATTGCAACGTTGAATACTGCAATTCAGTTAAGTCCATAAAATATATTTGCAAATATGTCACGAAAGGCGTGATATGGCGGTTTTTGGAAAAAATTACAAAAATAATCAAAAACCTACATTAATAATTAATTTTTGTTTCTGTATTTTGGTACATAGGCGTCGATCAAGTTTTTCTTCCATGTTTCATATCTTAATGATACATCTGCTGAAGATTTCTCGAAGCAATTGCTGACTATCGGCAATGGTCAAGTACCTGTCGATGAATCGAGCGGATTAATATCATTTCCAAATAATTTTTGTAATTTTGTCTCATCAAAAGAGGAACTTATCAACAATGTATTTCCAAACATTATTTCTAACTACAAAAATAAGGAATGGTTGAGTGACAGAGCAATTTTAGCGGCTAAGAATAAAGATGTTGACGACCTGAACAACATAATTCAAAATAAGATCATTGGAACAATGCATTCATTCAAATCTATTGACTGCGTCACAAATGAAGATGAAGCCACCAACTATCCAATTGAATTTTTAAACTCTTTGGACGTGCCTGGCTTACCACCGCATAATTTACGTCTAAAGGTTGGATCCGTAGTAATCATGCTTCGAAACATAAACCAACCAAAACTGTGCAAAAACAAAGTACTATCGAAGCTATAAATCCAACCAAGTTTCTGGGTTTGTGGGCCTTAATGTGGGAGTAGGTTTTTCACCTAAACACTTATATTAACGTGTTGATTCCCAATATTCTAGCTGAAAAACTTTTTCAGATATTTACACAGTCCCAATATTCTAGCTCTTAAAGTTCCCAAGACCTCGACGTTCATACGGACGAACTAGAAAAATAAAAAGATTAAATTTTAAAACTATAATTTTTATTAAAAAGCAATTTGGATACAGAATTATGGAAGCACTAATCTTTTAGAACATGAAGTACTTTTGTAAAAAATGTTTTCTTATCAGGAAAGTCTAATAAAAGTGCAAGGGCACTTTCTACTAGAGTGTAATTAAGCTCGCTTTGTTTTTGTGATATTTGTTGAACTGCCTTTTCCGAACGAACTATTTTCTGTTGCGATTTTAAATGATTTAATTTTCGGTAAGCTTTCGCCCTCATCTGCTTTCGAATTATTTGCTCCAAATTAGCGTGTTTAGCTAAAACACCTTCTTCTATTCGATCTTGAATGTTGGCATCGTCTTTTATTATGTTATTAAGATCCGTTTGAATTCTGCGCAACATATAAATAATGCGCTCAATTTTGTTTACATCATCGATTAATTGCTTTTCTGACAAAAACTTTATTTCATTTCGGATAAGTTTTGTCCTGTTATGAACTTCATCTAGTTTTACCTGTATTTGAGAAACATTTTTTGATTTTTTTATTTTTGTTTGCATGTGTTCTTGAACTGATGCATTTACAAAAATTTGTTCGCGATGCATAACGCAATGTTCGAGATCAAGAACTAGTCTTTCTTGTGCTCGTTTAAGCTGACTATATCTTATGTTCATACGATGTATTTCGGTTTTCATTACACCAATTTCACCATGCACAGATTTTTCTAATTTGATCCATTGAATAGTTTCTTCGACCAATTTATATTTGGTTTCCCACGATAGTGTTTCCCTATGATTATCCATAACCAAATCTTTATGAAGTTCGATTTCGCTTTGAAGCTCTTTAATGGTGTCTTCAAGTTTCAATATTCCAAGCTCTGCGGCCTAAAATAAAAAGGGGTTTTAAAAAATAAATGGGTAAGGGGGGAGTTTACCTTAAGCTTTTGAGTGTGGTCAGACTGCTCGTGCTCGAACTCTGTCTCTTCAAAATCGTGAAACATTCTCTTTTTGTATATTTTGTCATTAAGTAGTTCTAATTTCGATGTAAATTTTTGAATAAATAGCTGTAGGTCCTTGTTTTTTTTTTGGGAGACTTCCAGCTCTTGATCAATTTTAAGCGACTTCTGCTTTATAATGGATAGCTCTGAAAGTATAATTTAAATATAATATCATATAATATTTCTTGGGAAAATAAAGTTTGTAATGATACTGCTATAAACGTATTAAATCAGCAGGCCCGTCGAGAAGGAATTTCGGGACCGGGGGGTACAACTCACGGGCCCCTATATAATAAGAAATATTTTCGAAAATAACGAAAGTTTCAAATATATTTTATTTCTACTACTACTCGAATAATAAAGATCAATATAAAAATTAGAGTGTAATGTGAAATTTTATTTTCTGACAAAAATAAATTGTTGCGAAGTGGACACAATATTCGAGAATGGCGTGAACACAAAAGGCAAGGACTTGTAACATGACGGTTATAAAAAAAGGACTAATTTTCAAGTTATCGTCGCTATCACGGTTAGTTTTTATCCACTTAAATTCGCTTTTCGCGCTTTTGCAGAGGCAAAGGGGTAAAATTGCGCTTTAGCGGCTTTTGCTAAAAATGGTCTAGGATTTTTTTTTTTTTTTAATGGATACCTTGGGGCCTAAACATTGATAAAAAAGTGGCGGAAAGCTTAAATTTTAATTATTTATGTGTTAAAATTGCAATTATTACTGCCGCGAGGCAACCCGTTTTAGAACATTGCCATGTTTTTCTAGCGAAAAACTTTACCGTTGAGAATGTGTTGTGGATGAAGAGTGCTGCAATTGTGTGAAAATTTAAAAACAAAAGAAATTTAACAATTTTACCATGTCAGGCACTGCCAATTTTACTACTGAACGCTGTAAAGGTTGCGAAATGACTCAGAGTGATTTTATAGTACTGAGTGAATACCCAGAAAAGCTATGGCCAGTTGCTTTTTTGCTATTTTTACAAATAAATACTTAGAAATCAAGCTTTCCGCCACTTTTTTATTAATGTTTAGGCCCCAAGGTATCCATTAAAAAAAAAAAAAAAATTCCTAGACCATTTTTAGCAAAAGCCGCTAAAGCGCAATTTTACCGGCAAAGGAATCGATTATTACGCTGAAATCCAACTGCCTTGCTAACTCCGCCTCCAAACATAAAATCGCCAGACCAGTTAGACGCTCTTGTGTAGAACAAGTTCTGTGAAAGTTTTTAACTCGCGATAAAACACTGAAGGAGCGTTCTCCACTAGCGACACTGACAGGGAGAGTACAAAAAATTCTCAAAGCAACACAGACATTTGGGAAAAGATTCTGAAGATTTTTTGAGTACAGAGCGTTCAGCAATGCAAATGGAGGAAGGTTTTTTTCAATATTATCTACATATATATGTTTGAGGTGGACGATTTCATCTTTCAACTCTTCGGAAACATCAGCTACCTACTTCTTCGTGAATTCTACGACAGACGTCTGAAGAGTATCTTCATCCAACGTGGTGAATTTCTATAAAAACGAGAACACTTCGTTCAAATTTTTTACTGCTTTGAATCTTTTTGTCATTCCTGCAATGACCGAATCGATGATGGTGAAGAAAATGGTGGTCTTGAATTTTTCTTCTTCAGAAGTGATGTCGGTTTCTGGACTTGCGTCACCATCATTCAAAAAAACTTTCGCACGTTTTCTTTTTCGAATTGTTGGTAAAGTTTCAGGAATGTTCCACCCTCTTGCAACAAGTTTACATTCACTCAGAATGAGGTCCCATCGATTTCGTATGAACTGCAAATCTGAAAGGAGACCCTTCAGATTGTCAACTTCAACGTCTATAGTAGCTCCTCTTGCTTGAAGGACGACGATATCAAGATACATTCGAACGAATTCATATATTTTTGAATACCGTTGATGTCCCGGAGAGTCTCTGCAGTCAAATTGAGTTCCTTCACTTCGTCAAGTGCTTCTTGTATTCCAGAAAGGTGTTTCGCGAAAGGTTTAACGGCGTCAAGTCTGCACAAGTTGCCTGACGTACACAAATTAGTTGCTTGTGCTGGTCGTTGTCGTAATCAACAAATCGTTGGTTATGGTGTAAGTATCGGGGGATGGGAATTGGGCACTCCACGGCTGTTATTATGTTGTGCTGCTGGGACATAATAAGGCGGGAGAGAGCGATCAAAGAGCTTTCCGAGCAGTGGCCTGCGGCCATATGTAGCGCCCACATGCAGGAGCCGCTTTATTGGCGTCGTTTCGAGCGTCGATCGAAATGGTTACGCTTGGTTACGTGCGAAAAATTCACGCAGAAGGATGACTTAAGATGCGACGATGAACTTCACTTCACTGAAGGTGAAAATGCTTCGTTGCTATAAACGAGGTCCATGAAAAGGTACAAGGACTGAAGTGGAGAGCCGGAGATGATGAGAACGACGAAACACGAGCTTCAAGGGCCTGAGTCGCGCCTCTCCAAACCGCTAGCGGTGGTACTGGGATTGCGGTTATCCAAATCTGTGGAAGACGAGATGACCATTTATATCATTTGGAGAGTTTTTCGGACAGACTTAAAAAACGTTTTGTGCTGGATTCGCTTTGATGCTCGAAAGTTCAATTAATTCGTAGCACTAAAAGTTGGAGAAGTATAAAAGAATTATGAGGTGGCTGCTTGATGGTGGGTGCCCTCGGCTAAAAACGTTTTCGAATAGAGTACTTAATAGGTTCGAGATCCAAGCTTGGACGGCTCTACAAGTTGGTTCGTCGGCCCGGTATTTCAACATAAAAATTAAGACCAGTAGGCCGCCATGAAATATACCACCCATGAAGGCAGCGATTGTTATGCACCATAAGAAGTCAAACAAGAATCATCGGCGGTGGCCCTCAATTCTACAGTATCCTCAACGTTTCACCAAACACAAGTTAGCGTTATTCTACGTTAAGCACCCAAGTCGTTAATGGATCGCTTATTCAAATTTGGCATGATCGCTATGTCCAAATCAAGCTAAACTAAACCCATAAGCAACGATGAAAACCAGCGTGCCGATAATAATAAAAACAGTTGAAAAGTCTTAGGTAAAGAACACACTGGAAAATAACAGATTTGCGATTCTTTGTAATCAGGATGACAACAATAATAATGACGATCTTCACCCACACTAACCGAAACACGCCAGCACCACTGCATCGAACTGGTTAAAAACTTAACTGTCAAAATTGGCGCAAACACATTCTATGTAATGCCTATAATAAGGGGAAATCATAAATGAAATAAAGAAACAAGTCATCAATAAAGACACATAGCGATCTAAAGAAAGCTACCTCGATAATGGATTAATGAAATACTATACTTATCCACTAAAAAGCAGCAAAGGTCTAAGTGGTAATAAAGGGAATAGAACCAGCTGTTACACCGAGCGAGATAAAAGATGCACTCAAAGATAAGGGTTTTGATGCCAAAATGGCTATGAACATAATAAACAGAAACAAAGTACCAATATTCAAAATAGAATTATTACCCGGCAGCATGGCTATAAAAAATTTGAAGTCCATCCAATATATAATCTACAGATCCTACTGCATCGTAGAATAACTGTTGAGGAAACGCAGAAGCGGAATGGCCTTATTCAATGTACAAATTGCCAAGAGTACGGGCATACGAAAGCACACTACGCGCAGTATGTGTTGTTTGCGGATACCTGCATCTCAAAGAGGGGCCATATCCAATCCCTGCAGTAGTGCAATGTGCAATCATTTAAGCCGACAGTTCAATAAGGACAGGGCACTACTCAGTCAGTGAACGCTCTTAAATTCTTCTGAGATGCCTTGTAAGTTGGAGGCAATGCTGGTAACGCTCACAAGTGCAATGACTTCTATATAGAAAACGCTCCAGCAGCTCGTGCGGAATCAACCTCTTCTTCTAGAGTTTATGATTAAACAGAAATCTGTTTAAATGTCCCGCCTAAACATACGTTTCTGGATTGCAAATGGCATTTTTCTCAGCACAGACTCAAACTATCGGAGTTGCTTGCTCAACATGACAAACAACTAAAAAAAAAATTTCCATATAAACGAATAAATATTTTATCAAACAAATCACCTTTATATGCTACAAATTACTTTAAGTCAACAACAATACAAGTTGGAGGAAACGCGGTTGCATCAACCTAACCGCGGTTTACTGCCCACCACGCTTTTTTAAATTAATTATTAGATCACTTCATAGCAGCTGGTGACAACTATACAACTCATTAATTACTCCACAATATAAGCTTGACATTATTTCAACGGCAAGCCTACATATTGGCCAACTGATCCAAAGAAACAACCAGATCTGATTAACTTTGCAATTACAAGAAGGGTTTCCCATACCCAAATGATTGCGGAGAGCTTTGTTAGAACGATCATATTTTCTATATTCCATTAAAACTGTTTGTACAATTATTAACTCAGAAGACAGCATAGATAACTCAGTAGAAGCACAATCATCTGTAATGTCGCTGAATGTAAAGCACTCAAACCTAACAGCAGAACCTAAAAAGTGCACAACAATTAATGTTCAACTGTATATCGTACACATGAAGGAGTTGCTGCGAGAAGAAAAAGCTTCGTCGAGATTTGTAGGCCAGGGGCTCTTTGCTCAAAGGAGAGGTTAAAACTAGCCAAAGACTACGAATGGCCTTTAAAAAAAGAGAAAAAAAACTGCATATAGTCTGAACATATGGCTCTGAACTATAGGCAAACGCCAGCAGCAGTAACATTGAGTTAATTGAAAGATCTCAATCCAAAAAATTAAGAATCAAAACTTATTGTTAGTGTCTAACACGATAAGATCTTCAAAAGCCCGAGATGAGCTAATAAATGTTGCGCTGCTCTTATGGGGCACTTAGATCGACTTAGAATGGCAGTATCACCAGCAAATCTTGAGGTTGTTGTGAGGCTGGTTGGTGTGTAAATTATATACAGCGTTGGTCCAAGTACGTTACCTTGAGCTCCTCCGACTTCAATTGGATGGTATTCAGAGAGGAAATTTTTATATCCGACTGCGAATCGTCTATGCACATGATATGACTCCAGTATTTTATAGATGTTCTGTGAAAGCAATGTTTTAATTTTACTAAACTAAGGTTCCGTGTTTTTCGCGGAAACCATA